TTAAATACAGATCGATAGGGAATTTCATTACGAATTCAACGAGGTATGACATTCTAGTCTTGGACAATTATTTTGAATGCTATCGACAAAATACTGATTATTTCGTACCAAAAAAAACAGAAAATAAAAAATTGCCATTTTTCTATTTTCCATCATCAAAATTTGCGAAAAATGGCAAAAAATTTTATTTTTTTTGTTTAAATACAGATCGATAGGGAATTTCGCTACGAATTCAACGAGGTATGACATTCTAGTCTTAGACAATTATTTTGAATGCTATCGACAAAATACTGATTATTTCGTACCAAAAATAACAGAAAATAAAAAATTGCCATTTTTCTATTTTCCATCATCAAAATTTGCGAAAAATGGCAAAAAATTTTATTTTTTTTGTTTAAATACAGATCGATAGGGAATTTCATTACGAATTCAACGAGGTATGACATTCTAGTCTTGGACAATTATTTTGAATGCTATCGACAAAATACTGATTATTTCGTACCAAAAAAAAACAGAAAATAAAAAATTGCCATTTTTCTATTTTCCATCATCAAAATTTGCGAAAAATGGCAAAAAATTTTATTTTTTTGTTTAAATACAGATCGATAGGGAATTTCGCTACGAATTCAACGAGGTATGACATTCTAGTCTTGGACAATTATTTTGAATGCTATCGACAAAATACTGATTATTTCGTACCAAAAAAAGCAGAAAATAAAAAATTGCCATTTTTCTATTTTCCATCATCAAAATTTGCGAAAAATGGCAAAAAATTTTATTTTTTTTGTTTAAATACAGATCGATAGGGAATTTCATTACGAATTCAACGAGGTATGACATTCTAGTCTTGGACAATTATTTTGAATGCTATCGACAAAATACTGATTATTTCGTACCAAAAAAAACAGAAAATAAAAAATTGCCATTTTTCTATTTTCCATCATCAAAATTTTTGCGAAAAATGGCAAAAAATTTTATTTTTTTTGTTTAAATACAGATCGATAGGGAATTTCATTACGAATTCAACGAGGTATGACATTCTAGTCTTGGACAATTATTTTTAATGCTATCGTCAAAATACTGATTATTTCGTACCAAAAATAACAGAAAATAAAAAATTGCCATTTTTCTATTTTCCATCATCAAAATTTGCGAAAAATGGCAAAAAATTTTATTTTTTTTGTTTAAATACAGATCGATAGGGAATTTCATTACGAATTCAACGAGGTATGACATTCTAGTCTTGGACAATTATTTTGAATGCTATCGACAAAATACTGATAATTTCGTACCAAAAAAAAAAACACAAAATAAAAAATTTCCATTTTTCCATTTTCCATCATCAAAATTTGCGAAAAATGGCAAAAAATTTTATTTTTTTTGTTTAAATACAGATCGATAGGGAATTTCATTACGAATTCAACGAGGTATCCCATTATAATTTTGGACAATTATTTTTAATGCTATCGTCAAAATACTGATAAATTTTTGAAATTTGTTGGAGAAATTTTCGCATATTCAATTTCATCAAACACGTTCTAGTTCATAGCATAGGATGCTGTGGGCCTTTTAATCCCCTATAACTGCTATAATAACTGATCATCTGTCAATGCTGGAGAACTATTTTTAAAATTAAATCTATGTAGAATAATACAACGAGACTTGTATAGCCCTAGTAGTACTGTTTAATATTGATAATTGATCCTCTTGTTCGTATCCTTACAGTAGACACCCTGGATGCAGATACCCATCGATTGATACCCAGAGTGGCCATCGAGGCAGCTTAAGAGACACATGAACACGGCAAACACGGCTCTATAAAACTAGGTAAACATCGATGCAAAACCCACCCAAAACACAACGCCACCCCCTGATTGTGAGCTCGAAATTAAGAAATTACAATGCGGTGCGACAAAACGTGGCATGGCCAATTAAAATGTGCATTCGTTTTAGGCCTATCAAAACAGCAGGAACAACGTGCATGAAGCGATAAGCAAATACCAATAAAAAGGACATCGGCTCGGCGGAAAAGTGTGGGATGATACGGAGTGGAGCGTCATCTGGCTGATCGGTTCGTGTTGGACAATTTAATGCAATTAGTGATAGCGATAGCGATGGTCAGTGTTTTGGGCACTCTGTATTCCATATCGGTAATTACATAATTACAGCGCGTGTCCTGGAATCGAAGGGATGTACGAACGTGTATGCTACGTGTATCCACCCTCTCTCCGGATCACAAGTAGGTGGCACATGTCATATGCCGCGGCATTCCAGTTCCAATTCGGATTGCGATTTCGATTTCACTCGGCTGATTAATGATATTATGTAATCCCATTAGGGGCCATTCGGCCTCGGGGCAGCTTTGTGAAAATACAAATCGAACCGAACCGAACCGAACCGAACCAAACCGAACCGAAAAGAAAATGCCTGTGAAATGCAGCCAACCGCAATAATCGCGAACGGCAAAGAGCGAAAATCTAAAATCGCAAAAATCGAAAGCAAAACATTAGGCGCCTAATGCGACTTAGCCCAAAAATAGGAGGGATCTGGAAATGGACGACGGGCGATGGCAGCGAAAGCCAAGAAAACCAGACCAACGACCTACTTCAATGACGATGTGTTAATTTCATTTGATTGACATATGTCGGGCCTGGTACGACTGCGATCCTCGTTCCCATTCCGGCGGATTCTTCCTTAAAAAAAGGAAATGTCCCATCTCTTGACTTGTCATGTAAATCTCAAGGATGTTGTTGCGGCTGGCCAAGCATGACGCTTCATATTTTCGGGGACTGTGACTAGGCGCAGGACCTCACGTCACAGGACATTGTCCCGATTGAGCTGTCAGCGGATGACGGGACACAAACTCATAATCAAAATCGAAAAACGACAGAAAGCAACTTTTTGCAGGCCGAACCTGAAGGCAATATACATATACGCGATACAAGGACATCCTTTGGGAGAGTCAATGTCAGGACTTTCCTATCTTTGGCTCCCGAAGGACAGATGCACACTTGGCCAGCGGCGGAAAAAGAGCAAAAGAGCCAAGGAGGCAAGGAGGCAAGGAGGCGCAAGGGAAGGATTGTAATTTAAGACACTGCCATTCATGACGTTTAAATTTCGCAAATTGTCAAAATTATTGCATTCGATATGCAGCGCACAAAGCGAAGGGAAAATTGTGCAATGAAGCCGACAGCATTTTGCATGCCCTGCCCTTAACCCTTGAGTGAGAGTGAGATTGAGATTGAGAGTGAGGAGGTACTCTAATCACTCGGAAAATGCCTCCCATTCCCGCCCCTCCTGCGAACTTCTTGAGGAGTGTGTGAAAAATTGATAGACTTGTCATTCGCCCGGCGGCCGCCGACGGGGTGGATTTCCCTTGCGCCCGTCGTCCTGTTGTCCTGGTGTCCTCCTTCTCATAAAGTTGCATAAATGTCAGGCGACTGTCATGACAACCTCTTGTAAACGCCCCATAATTTTTATTATTAATGGACTCGGCCCGCCATAATCGATGAGCTGCTATATCTGCTATATCCTATATCTGCCATCGATTTCGCATGCCGAAAAGAGTTGGCAGGGGTTCCGCGGATACCCAGACCTATTCCCTTTCCTTTGTAGTTTTGTACTCAAGTGAAAGCCACAATATCTTTTCTTCACCTTTGCTGCTTACCTAAACTTATTTAGCAGCCTTTAAGAAATATTTTATTCAAGCTATAAGCCCTAATTCTTTATATTTACTTTTTCATTAATATTTATTTAATAGTTTACAAATTTAAGCAATGTTAGTTGTTACAAACTGTTTTTTTTTTTAAATGCACACAAATTTAAACTTATATTTTTTTAAATAATTTATAGGTAATGATCGGCTCGAGTCCACGCTAAGCCTAGCAAAGTTTCTGACCCGAGAGCGACAGCTGTGCTGCCTACATCAAGTTTCCTACCTAAAATGCGACCGCACTACCGAAGATCCAAACCACCAGCATGCCGTGTAAAATAATGTAAAATATGATCAGATGTTAGTTCTTAACGTTGACCGCTTTAATCAAAGTAAATAAAGTGGCTGATTTGCAGATTCTGAACACCAGGCGAACAGAACTTTCAGTAGGGATCGAGCTGTCGCTCTCTGCCAGCTGACTGGAGAGATGCATAGGGCAGCCATCATGAAAATCAACAGCTGTTCTTGCTAACTTCTGAGCTAAACTAACGGTTTCCCTCCATCAACTGGCTTCCTATTGGTCAAATGATGACGAAACGCGTAGGAGGGCGGCCATGTTGAAAACTGTCAGCTGTTTTGATCTTCTTTCAGTTACCAGCTGACGCCTACTATGTTTTCTGTTCGCCTGGTGTCAGAGATCCGAAAACCATCGATTTTGACTGACAAAATGGCATGACGGCGGCCGAAAAAGTTGGGAAAACGGGTTTATTTTCCGATGTGAAATACTAGGCGACCAGAATTCCTAGTAAGTGGCAAGCTTATAAATTTTTGATTCACCCAAAGATGGGCGCGTGCAGGTGTTTCTTGTCACGCGCCAAGCAAATACATAGGGCGTTCATAGTAAGTTCGTGCCTCGCGTGACAAATTCGTGACACAGCCAAAGAATCAAATGGTTTCCCCATCCTTAGATTGATCTTGGCACAGTCTAACGGTTGTTTTGCGCTTACTTTGCTTTGCTTACTTCTGATTGGTCAATCGGGGAATGGGGAAATATCAGCTGTTTGATATACTTTCAGTTACCAGCTGACGCCTACTATGTCTTCTGTTCGCCTGGTATCGCAGATCGAAAAATCGTTGGATTTGGCTCGGATTTTGTGGCTGCACTTGGAGCTGCGCACAAGGGTATGCAATGCGAAACATGAGCAGGTTCGTGATGCCTCGCGGCTGAGATATAATTCAGGGTATACTTTTAGGCTTAGTTGTCAGCTAACCAAGAAACTACGAAGATTTGCCAGGCAAATTTGAAGGAGCAATGGAGTAATTATGTTCGATAATTTATTACGATTGATTTCTTAGGGCTATGAAAAAAATTCACTTACGAGTTAGACACTAATGGCTAGCTAGGACTTCTACAACTAGAGATGATTCCATTGATAGTTAACTGGTGAGATTGCGAGATGCACTTACAGCTAATACATTTTCCAAATATAACGTATACTCCAAGGACTTAAAGTACTTAAATGCGAGTGTGTAAAAAAAAGAAAGTTGAGCCCCCTAAACTATTCACAGATAAGCTGACCCAAAAAACAGGACATACGATTCGGATCCTCGCGTTCAACGCATCAAGAGAGGAGTGGACCTTTAGGCGGTGGTTACTTTGGCGGAGGTGAAGGCGGCCAGCTGGGCCTTGAGGGCGTCAATCTGGCACAAGAGCTCGATGTTCTGGCGCTCCAGATAAGCGGCCCGGATGGCGATCTCATCCTCCTTGATGCGGCGGCGGTCGCGGGACTTCTTGGCGGCGGCGTTGTTCTTGCGACGCCTCTCGTAGTAGGCGGCATCCTTGACCTGGCTGCCCGAGCTGATTCCCGCATTTGCTGCAGTAGCGTTGGCCAAGTTGCTGGAGCTGCTGGTGGCGGACTTGCCCTCGAAGTTGCCCGCCTGCGAATCGCAGTCGCTGGACTCCTCGGCGGCAGCGCGATCCTCGCTTTCGCTGTTGTTGTTTGAGGAGCTGCCTTCGTTGACGGATCCACTTCTCGAGTTCGTCCTCCGCATCTTGGGGTTGGTTACGGTGCGCGATCCTCCATTGGAGCTGCGGATTTGCTCAAGCACCCGCTTCCGGTATTCCGTGTAGCGCTCCACTCGCGGATTGTCCAGAAGGACGTCTGTGGCTGCGAAATTGGCAGCGATTACCAAGGGATCCCGGGGAAAGGCCTTGAAGGGGCGTGTGTTCTTTCCCGCCTCGCCGCTGCTGGAGGTGGTGGGCGTGGTGGCCTCAACAGCCGGGGACTGCGGATTGTCCAGGACATCTATCTGCATGGTGCTGGCGTTGCTGGCGGGCCTTGGTGAGTTGGTCGAGGAGGCGGCAGCAGCAGCGGCGGCCGCAGCAGAGGCGGCAGCGAAGGTTTGCAGAAGGTTGGCGGTTGGTGTGACCTTGGGCGGAGCAGCAGTGGGCGTGGCTTGCTCCTGCTTGATGTTACTGTAGTAAAAAGCGGGATACAGGGAGGCCAATTGTTGGTGCTGCTGCTGCTGGTGTTGCTGCTGCTGCTGCTGCATCTGGGCGGCATACAGCAGATTGCTGGTGGGCGAGGCTGAGGGGGAACCACTGCCATAGCTGTAGCTCGTTTGATAGGGCGAGGGAGTCTTCCTGGGCGTCTCCACGCTGTCGCATCGACGGGAAAGGTCCAGCACCTCAGCAGAGGAGCTCTGCTGCTGCTGCTGCAACTGCTGATGTTGCTGCTGCTGCTGCTGCTGCTGCTGACTGAGGGCAGCTCCCAGCAACTGCTGCTGGTAGGCGTAGGCCGTGTACAGATCCATCTTGGGCAGGCCCAAGGATCCCTGAACCGGCAATTGGCTGTGCGGCAAGTGATGCAGTGGTTGCTGCTGGTGGTGCTGGTACTGGTGGTGGTGCATCAGGGGCTTGCGATCTGCGCAGATGGAAAGAGAGAGAGAGAGAGAGGGGGTATTCGTTAGTTTGCGGATCGAGGAGCGTGTAGGAGCGAGGGGCGTGGCCACTTACCAGTCTTGAGATCGAAGAACTGCCCGGCCATGAGTTTCTCGTGCATTAGCATGGTGTGCGGAGTGTGGTCGGTCGATGGGTTTAATCCAACTGATGGGCGCTATGTAGACTATATAGACTGGTGATCTGGCTGAGCTGTTGCTATGTCTTCACGCTGACGATGTCGAACGCAAACTGATTTCCTCTCGTCGGAACCCCCTGCATTTATACCCAAAATGCGGAGGCTGCGCCGACGCCTCATTCACGTCGAAATGGCGGACACGAGCGGCCAGCCGAGGCGGTACGAAGCAGGTAGGCGGTACAGAGGCCAAAGTCCAAAGGGCAAAGGGGTGATTCTGGCTCTGTCCCGTTCTCGCTGTTGCCCTCTCTGTCTCGCCGCCTTCGAAAGGGTTTTACAAGGGTGCGGCTGCCCTTTCCCTCATTTGGTTTTCGCAGTTTTCGCAAAAATCATAGTTCTTTGTGCTATTGTTACTTCGCCATTTAGCGTAATTTAAAAAAGAAGTATAAAGAGTTTTCGAACTTTACGTTTCATCAGTTTCCGCGAAAGGATATGGTTTTTTCTGGGTTTTAATGTTCAATGAGAAAAAACAGGGAAATTCGTAGCACTTCTGCAGTGCCTTACATTTCGTTTTCAAAGAATTGCTTAAAAATATGTATAATTTATTGGAGTTCTAGAACTCGGCTTTGTTTTCATGGGCGGCGTTTTATAAGTCTAAGCTTACTTAAATCCCATTTCTACATAAACCAGCATTGTGCAATTGTATCTAACTTACTTGCTTTGAAAACCAAGCGACAAAAAATCATTAAACTGCGGCGTAGTTACAAAAAACCAATTTCAAACATTTAGTGGGTTCTGATTTAAGTAACTACAGGATAACTTCAAGTATACAGAATAAATCCCATGTTACCATTGTATGCTCTTCTTTTCAGCATTCAAGTATAAACCCACTTCTGAATCTTCCAGAACAGTTCGCAAATCAAAGCCCCATGCCTGTAGTCCATTATGATTAGGGCCAAATCATACTTTCTGGCCAGAAAGAGAGGCATCTGGCCAACGAAAGAGATAGAACCTGGTTTGTTGATTATGGATGCATAACGTCCAAGGGTTGTGATGGCTAAATCCGTTTGTTTTGCGCTTTTGTCCCGAAATCCTTTTGCTGACCAGCCCATCCAGAATCTTTGTATCTATGCGATGGCGAATTCGTTGGATTGTGCGTGACAAATTATGGAAATTAGGGCGAGTTCTGGCTTTCTTGCTGTTTTCAGCCCTTTTCGGCTGGCGTAATTCGCATCCTTTTCCTATTTCGGCAATGCAAACTCGGCTGCTTCCCGGAATCCCGGCAAGGACACTCGCCAGTCTGCCCATTTGATTCATGACGCCGCCACCTCGAGGATCGGGCATCGAGCGTCGAGAATCGAGAGTCCAGGATCATTGCGACAAGTGTCCGTCATGTTGACTGCTCGTGTTTGCCCTCCTCCTTAAACATCCTTGATGCTACGTCCTTTATCCCTTGGGCTTCCGCTGCGGCAGGGGTTGTGGGATCCTCGACAAGTTGTTTCACTTTGCTAACTGTTTGTCCTAACGGTCGCCTCGGCGGCCAACGGAAGTGGGTAGCGGTACAAAGTTGGCCGTCATCCATGGGAAGAAACCCGCTCGATACTACTGCAGCTACTTTCGGCACATACTTAGTCCATACTCGCAGTTTGATACCAAATCCTATCAGTACCTATCAGTAAGTTTCATTCATTCTCTTTTTACAACTGCCCATTCAGTGGGTCAGTGGAAGATTGCAAATAAAAAGAGGGATCGATATGGTAATCAGTAAAAAACCGCGAACTTATCCACTAATCCGTGCGCTAATCCAACCGTAAAAATGGTGGATTAACTAAAACTCGGACCGCCACGTCGCCGTCATTGAGTCGATCCTTTACCTGCGATCCGCGATCCGCGAGCTCGAGCCCGAGCAGATCCTGGCCATATAACCCAACCCAATCGATCCCGAGCAGATGCCATAAAAAGTCGCGGCCGAAGTCGAAGCCAAAGAGTTGCCAAGTTCGCCGTAAAAACCAGATTCAGCGAAAAAAGAAGAAAAACTTAAAAAACAGAAGGCCATAAAACCATATATTCCCTTGCGCGGACTGCTGTTGCTTCGCCATAATGAGCTCCGCACCAAAGATGCAATATTTGTGCAATCCTTTGAGTGGCGACCTTGGGCGCGTTTTTTACGGAATCACCTACCTGATGCCCGAACGGGTTGCTGCCGCCCACTGGATGTGCACTTATGCACCTAAGTTGTTATGCTGTTGCCTAAAAAACATGCAGAGTTTTATTGCATAATGGACGCTTCGTGCGAAAGGCCTCATTCCGGGGACCCTAAACCGCTGCTGTTTTTTAGCAGCTATAAACTGACATTTCGGACGTCGGCGGTCCTGAGAAGAAAAGGGTTCTGCCTCGCCCATTGTGGCTGCGATTTTTACGTTGGTCCGCTGCTAGGTGACAAAGAAAATCAGCGACTAATTGACTGAAAGGGGTTTGCCTCTATGACCCTTCTACGTCCAAAAAAGGGTGAGCAGTGGCTTGGACTTGGATTCGCGGAATTGCCGTTAACTCCTTTCGCGGCCCTTTGTCCTAATGGGCCAACAGTCGCATATTGGCATCCATAACTTCGAATGCCCTGTCGTAAACGCAAGTTGGCAGCAACTTATCGCATGTCAGTACGGCCATTTTGTTTCTGGGAAACTGCATGCCGCTTGTTGCCCCTAAAAAACCCTAGTTTGGGATTGGGTGGTATATCATCTTTTTGATATCATCAGTTGTTGCCATACTCGAGTGGTGCCGCGCTATTCTGCCAACTTCCTCCGCAGAAACCCCTTGAAGGGCCCTTCCTCAGCACAATTGATGAAATGAGATTACTTCAGATGCATGATTAGTTTGGCCGTCATTCAGTTGATTCTCGGCTGGCCACGCTGGCCACGCTGGCCGCCTAAGCCCATCAGCAAAGGCACTTGGGCCCGTCTATATCCCAATATCCTGCGATGCTAATGAGGAAGTAAGTAGTCGGGCGGCGAGGAAGTGAGCGGGATTACACGTGCTCCTCGGGCGCACAAAGGCCCTCTTCTCCCGCTGCCGAGTGTTTGGTGTTTGGGCTAAGCGAAAAAGACCAACCAGGATCGGGGATCGGGGATCGAGGAACAAGGATCCTTATTTGTTTTCCTTGGCATATGCAAAGTGCACACTTGCAAGGGATAATGGGAACAGGTATTGCTCGGCTCGACGTGTCCGGGGATTTGCCTCAGCCACTTCCGCAAACGGAAGTGCACAGCTCGGCAAAAAGAAGCCCGACTAAAAAAGACACAAGTTAAGTACTGGAAAGGAACCACAATGGCCGTAGCTTCCGTCGTCAAATCCTTTGGCTAATTGTTATCCTATGGCTCCTAATCCCACGTCCAGCGCAGGCTGCTCAATTATGGCATCTCTGTAATTGAGAGACGTCGAGCCGCTCCAAATAGAGCCCTCATTCATTTCCATTCATTGACCAGCCGAGCGAAAAGATCTCGAGCAGATCTCCAGTCCGGCATGCGGAATCCGCATCCCGAATCCTGGATGCCACGGCAGTATTGCATTACTATGCCAATTAGTGCGGTTTTGATTACCCAAATGACATTTGCCCCGCAGACCCCGATTGCTTTTGAGTCCCATATCCCCTTATCTGCTCCAGCCGCATCTTCCGAGTGGAGGCGACAGCGCGTCTACTATCTGTCTTACTATCTGAAGTTTGCGCCGGCCAAACAAGCCAGCAACTCAGTGAACTTTCCACGCTCGCATGCCCAATATTGAAACTGTGTGTGGGTTCAAGGTCCTGACCCCAGATTGGGCGATCGGTCGATCGATCACAGATCCATCCAGGGGGAGACCCCACACGGGAAGAGCCATTTGATGCTCGTCAAATTGCCGCACAAAGAGCTCGGTGTTGCGAGTGCCATTTGAATGGGCAAAACTAACTTGCTACTTCCTTACGCCACCATTGTGGCTGTTGTCCTGCTGTCAGGAGCCCAGGAAGATGGCCAGGACACAGAAACGGGGGATCGAGGGGTGTGTCCGGGTCCACGCCCATCGCCATCGCCATCGTCATAGGAAAATGAGAATGCTCGGGTTGGGAAAACACTCGCACACACCAGACGAGCGAAGAAAGAAGCCCAAGGAAAGCAACATTTCACGCATGATCGAGGCACTGCAGCTACACTGCGAAGATTTAGGAGGCACATAGTATTGTCCAGAAGTCGGTAGGGCCGATGGAACGACCGAGGAGCAAGTCTGGCAAGACCGCAGTTTCCAGTGCACTGTGCGCAGCGATTGCAGGGTATTCGCCACCGATGGCACATTCATTTTGCACGCATCATCCGCCTTGATGAACTGTCAACGCTCGGCCATTGTTCCAGTCCCGGAATCCCAGCTCTGGGATCGGTATCTGTTTGGGTGGGAACCGCTCGCGGTACAGTTATGTGCGGCACAGTTAAGTGTGAAACGATTCTAATAGCCTAATAGCCGGCGCACAGACCCTTATTCCCATAATGCCCTTTCACATCTCGCTTAATTTTATGCATTTTACTGTTGATTAGCTGCCATCAGACAGCAGCCATCAGCCATCAGCCACGACGCCCATTGTCAGTGGCCGAGCACCGTTAGGGGTTTTCCGGAGTTTTCCGGAGTTAATCAAGCCGCCAGGCGAAGAGCCCACATAAAAAGAGTTGCGCCCCGACCATCGGCGGTTCGGGCCCACTCCATCTATCAAGGCCCTTGAAATTTTCACACCTTTTTGCGGGAGTGTCTGTCCTTCTGCTGCACTCCTTTTGGTCCCTTTGTTCGGCTGCTGGGCAAAGCCGCCTACGAAACCCCGTTAGAAAGGCTACTGTTAGCCCCCATCCTCTCCAGATTCAGAATTTGGATTCCAAATTGCAGATCCGAGATCTCTGTGCGCATTGTTGGCCAGGACAATTGCTGTCAAAATGGCATTGCAGCGGTTTGCGGATTTGGCCGTCCTGGTAATTGTGTCAATTGTCAGTTCGCACCATCTAACTGCCATCCTGACTGCCATCAGCATATAAAGCCTATCCAGCCAACACGATCTCCAGCGGAACGGATGCTGCCCAGATACAATCGGGTCGGCAGATCGGGGAAATCCTGGAACAGAGAACGGAACTGCACTGGGCTGCACGGAACGGAACTAAATGGTCCTAAGCCTCATTCCGCATAACTCTTTCATAGAGTGACTCCTGGCCAGCTCGTAATATGAGCATTTGACCCTGTGAAGTCTCGACCCGGCCACACCCATTGTATCCGAGTTCCGTTCCGTTCAGTTCTGTTTGGTTCTGATCGGTTCCCATCTCCTTCGAGAGCCACAATTGCCTTTTGCCTCGACTTTTTTCACATGAAACTAAAAACGACTGAAATCCAAGAGATTAAACGGTCTT